ATTTTAGAGTTTTTTCCAACCTTTCACAAGGGATTGGCTTCAAACTGAAACTCATTTGGTTTAAATTAAATATTAGGGAAAAGTTCTTTATTCTGAGGGTGGTGAGTACCCAGAGAAGCTGTGGCTGCCTCAATCCCTGGATATGTCCAAGGCCAGGTTGGAGCAACTTGGGATAGGGGACGGTGTCCCTGCCTTTTTGGCAGTTTTTAAGGTCTCTTCCAACCCAAACCTTTCTATGATTCCAGACAATTCTCTGATTTAAATTACTGTATCTAATCAAATAAAAAATTCCCCATCTAATTATTGCTGAGATTAATCTTTTACACAGAACCCAGAAGTGCTCCCAGATTTATTGTGAATATTTTCCTGCCTGGAGCCCTTCTCTTGTTTGTTAAAGGAACTTTTCCCTGCATTCAGAATGGAAAAGAATGCTCAGGTGTGCCAAGACCAGGCTTTGCACTTTGAAATTATTAACCTAATGACAGTGGAAGGTCATTTTTAATGATGTTTTAAATTCCAAACAGTTTGGTTTTGTCTCAATCCGTCACGTCCTCAGGTGACACTTCCAGTGTGACATGGATGCTGCAGAGAGCGAGCAGAGCATTATGTTGCCTAAAAAATTCTATTTTATCTGAAATGCAGGAGTGAATCAGCTTTAATATCACAAACAGCAGCAGATAAGATGATTATGGTTTGTGTGGTGTGCAGRGACCAATCTGCTCTCTGGCTGCCTGCCAGCGACTTTTGACAGGAGTTGGTAGAGAATTAATAGAAATTGATAATATTCTACTTTTTCTATTTGTATTATTTCTGTTTTCTCTTATTTCTATTATTGAATTCTCACTGAATTTTAGCTTTCAGCCAGAATTGCATTTTATAATAATGCTGAATGCCTCAAACCCATGGGGAGGCATTGCCCATAGCTGTGAATGTGCATTGCTGTATTTTCTGCTGTTGGTTTGCTGCTGCTTTTTGAGTTATCAAATTCAAATTCCATTTGCAGCAGTCTGGATTTATTTTCAGCCTGAATTTATCCACGTGGAGTTACCATACATGACTTAATGTGTGCAATTCATTATCTGCTGATTTTCTCTACACAAATATCCCCAATCTGAGAAAGGAGCATCAGAAAAAGCAAACGGGGAACRAAGTTTTTAAGAGGAGAAAGGCTTTTCTGATAAAGCTCTGTGAACAGGCATGAATTCATTTACAAAGAGTTTTTAATTTCTGAAAGSAGCCCGATGACCCCAGCTCTGGGGTGGGAGGGATTAGAAGGAGCAGCAGCTGGAGGATTTTATTTGTTTTGGGTTTTAACTTTTTTTTGCTCTCTTTGTTGCCTGTAAAGATCCGGGATGACTCCGAAAGGTGACGCTTCCTTTCCTTCATCATTTCTGTGCTCTYCTTACCCCAATAATCATTGCTCAGCTCCTTTTGTGAACCAAACCCAGCTTTCCCTGTGTTTTTCTCAAAGGCAGAGAATCCCATGAGGAGATCAACATCACCTTCACCCTGCCGGCTGCCTGGAACTCAGATGACTGCGTCCTGCACGGCCACTGCGAGCAGGTGGTGTTCAGCACCTGCATGACGGTGACAGCAGCCAGCAGTGTATTCCCTGTCACAGTGTGAGTGCTTCTCTAACTCCTTCATGGGGCTGCTTCATTCCTCAGCTGGCTCTCTGATTGTTTGTTCCACACCAAAATTCCTGTTGATAACAGAAATTGGCTCATCGCACTCCTTCCCCCATGGTGAAATGTTTTTCTTGAAACCTCAGATTTTTCTGAGGGTGTTTTAAACTCCACCCRTACCTGCCTTTTAGCTGTGATTTAAACTTCAGTGGGAGCAAAAGAATCCGTGGAAATTTAAGGAGTTTACCCCATCGTTGACTTTCAGATAATTATTATTATCATTTTTTTATGAGGCAGTAAAAATATTAATAATCAATCAGAACAATATACAGTTGTGACCCTAATTATGACACCAATTTGAACCCTCTAATTAAACAAAAGACATATACAGTTATGACACTAATTATGACAACAATTCCAACCTTCTAATTAAAAAAAAAGAAATTTATTTTCTTTCTATCAAAAGCTCACTTTATTCAGGTTTGATATCTTCACTATGAATATACTGCTCTCTTTATTACTTTACTATAAGAATGGCCAACAAAATCTTTTCATAATTATATTCAAATACAAACATCACAAAATTATTTGAAAGGCTCACATTTGTATTTTACATTACAATTATTTGATTCATTATATTGTCATAATCCCACATCAGAGTTTCAGAGATGAGATTTGGAGCTGAGGTTCTCACCTCTGAGATCAGGGTAAGGGAAGGGAAAAGGGAAAAGGGAAGGAAAGGGAAGGAAAGGAAAGGAAAGGAAAGGAAAGGAAAGGAAAGGAAAGGAAAGGAAAGGAAAGGAAAGGAAAGGAAAGGAAAGGAAAGGAAAGGAAAGGAAAGG